ATAGGTCAATATTCCAGCAATATCACAATGTGGGCCACCAAACACAGGTCAATATTCCAGCAATATCACAATGTGGGCCACCAAACACAGGTCAATATTCCAGCAATATCACAATGTGGGCCACCAAACACAGGTCAATATTCCAGCAATATCACAATGTGGGCCACCAAACACAGGTCAATATTCCAGCAATATCACAATAGGGGCCACCAAACAAGGGTCAATATTCCCCCAATATCAAAACATAGGCCACAACACACAGGTCAATATTCCAGCAATATCCCAATGGGGGTTACCAAACACAGGTCAATATTCCAGCAATATCCCAATGGGGGTTACCAAACACAGGTCAATATTCCAGCAATATCCCAATGGGGGTTACCAAACACAAGTCAATATTCCAGCAATATCACAATAGGGGCCACCAAACAAGGGTCAATATTCCAGCAATATCACAATAGGGGCCACCAAACAAGGGTCAATATTCCAGCAATATCACAATAGGGGCCACCAAACAAGGGTCAATATTCCAGCAATATCACAATAGGGGCCACCAAACAAGGGTCAATATTCCAGCAATATCAAAACGTAGGCCACAACACACAAGTCAATATTCCAGCAATATCCCAATGGGGGTTACGAAACACAGGTCAATATTCCACCAATATCACAATGCAGACTACCAAACACAGGTCAATATATTGCACCTATGTGGGAATCCAATCTGAGTCTGTCAGAGGTGAGACAAGCAGTCACATTCACCACTGGACTACCTGCTCCCCCACCTACAGCTATCATAGGTTGGGACTGTACAAGGCTAAGTGGGGTAGCACTGAGGGTCCTGCTGAAACCTGGGTTTGATTCCCCATGTGTACAATGTGGGAAGCAGGTTGTTCACGTCTCCTGACATCATTGCTGGTCTCATACAGGGCTAAATGTGGCTGTAACTCAGCAGTGGTCGAGGGAAACTAGAATGGCAGTGAATGATGTTTAGCTGTTTCCACTCTAATTAACAGCCTACTTATAACTCTAAACGTAAGTGTGACCCTTCGTTTGTGGAAAGTTAAACCCTCTTTTCAGAGATGCTTCATCACCTGTTAGAGGTGGGCTGCATCATTCTGCACAAGATGGAGTGACACCTGCCCTCCCTGTGTTTGCCACTGTTTCCGTGTAGAAGTAATTGCACATATTCTACTACAGATATACAACCTGGCCTGGTAAACTTGGAACATGCAAGTGAGTGGCAACAGAAAACACAGTTAACATATGTTTGGTAGCAATAAGGGCAAGTAAAGTCTTAGTCTGAACACTAAGCAGGCCGTGGAGTCATCCCACAGATGACATCCTTACCTTGTCAGCTTGCTGACGGGGTTAACCTCTTTGGTCATGTGGACAAGGGGTCTGACCTCAGATCAGAAGGTCCAAATCCCATCACGGGACTCGGAAATTTTATGGCCGCTACATTGGCGCCCAACGTGGGGCTGAGCACGTTCATATTAAATTTGAGCAAAATAAGCCTCAGTACCCTACTATGCAGCCTGGGACGTGCCTTCTGTTGACGGGGGAGTATGTAGCAGGGCGTGGAGTCATCCCACAGATGACATCCTTACCTTGTCAACTTGCTGACGGGGTTAACCTCTTTGGTCATGTGGACAAGGCGTCTGACCTCTGATCAGAAGGTCCGTGGTTCGAATCCCATCACAGGACTTGGAAATTTTATGGCCCCTACATTTAGAATGGTTGATATTCATAAGGCCTGTGTATTGTGTATGAGGTCGGTGTATGTCACATGTTTTCTGAGTAATAGTTAATGTTAGTAGGCCAATGGAAGAAATAAAAGCTAAGAAACAAAGCATCCCAATTCAGCACTTCCGTTCTTGAGCACCACATGACAAGTGGAAAGCTAGGAGTCTCCTGTACTTCTGTCTGTAAGTAGTTTCAATTTGAACAGACATGTATGTAAATTCTGTACACTAACACTAAGTTTGACTGTAGATTATGCAATGTCGTAGTTGACATATTAAACGCCTGGTCTATAATTACTGCTACGCCTCCATTACCAGCTGGATTTGAAAGCTTGTTTAAAGAATAACCACAGGGGCACTTATTAGAAGAAATATGGCACATTTCTCAACCCTCATTACATGTCAGGAAAAAATACTATCCCTACAACAAAATCACCAACTCAAAATGCAAGAACAAAATTTAGACACTATTTAAAACAGAAGAAAACGTTTGTCACAGAAACTCTTCAGACATGACTTAAACATGACGAGACTCAAACCATTTTCTCTTTCCAGCTTTCAGTGATTGAAGTCAGAGACTCTGAGTGTAAGCCAAGCAGTACTAACTCAGGTTTCATTAGCTTCTTGTATTTTTAAAATTGTGATTACTCTAAGTTCCCGGTTTAGAGGCCAAGCCTCTGACTTTTATCATCTTGTAAAGGTGTCAATGTACTCAGACTGCTCTGGCATAGTTTACCTCTGCTTGCACTAGGAGCCAACTTCCAATCTGCTCTGAGATATTTATACTGAAAAGTGTGATAACTTTAATGATGTAACCACGTTTACAACATATGCTATACACTGTACAAATAGGTAAATATACAAAATATCAGCCTGCTTGTATAATATGTGTTTGGTTCACGGTTGTTGAAATTTAATGTCATTCATGGATTTTTCAACACAATATAAACAGAATATGAGCCAGGAATGAACATATTTCCTGTCATGTTGATTTATATTGTCTTTATTAACCATCATTGTCACTTCTGGGGGTACCAGGGTGGAAAAACACAATTTACTTTCTTGGCAGATATTTATAAGGATTTTTCTAACACACAATTCCTTTTTCCTTACGAGATTCAACCTTTTTGCACACACCATGCCACTGATAGTGTAAGATATGGATGTGAACTATGTCTTCATACTTCATAATAGCTGGGGGCATGGCCAAAAGAGGTACATTGAAATCAAGTTTACATTAATGGATCTGTTATCTACCAAAGAAAGAAAAAATAAATTTCTTCCCCGTCAGTTTTGATTCAAACATGGTTGCTAAGATATCAAAGAACGGAAATACACAAATCCCACATGTTCAACCCCATTGCGGAATAGTTCTACACATACTTATTTTCACACCACTGACAACAGATCCAATGAGACTTTTCCAGTATGGCTGCTGTGATGGACACATTGAACATATGATCAGAACCTGTGGAACAAGAGTCATCAGAAGATGACAAATTCACCTGGCCACCCCAAATAGCAAAAGGCACCACTCTAGCCCCTGGTTAATACATGTACCAAGTTTGGATGAAAACAATATGGTTTTCAAGTTATGCTCCAGAAGTGGAATATGGATGGAGAGACGAATGGACGGACAGACAGACCAGATGATAACTATATAAGCTGCATTATATGCTGGGGAGATAGCAAAGGGTGGGATATGATAATGACACCTTGTGACACTTGATATGACGCAAGTCTCACAGTGTTTAACTGAATGCCCGTGATCGAATATCCATGACCCATTCTAGTGAACAAAATGAAGAAATGCACACTTAAACTATCTACTCATTGCCTTGACTGACAGTGATCAGTGTTCACACAAACTGCATGTACCCTCACACAAAGGGAAAGCCAATTCCCCATAGAAATAGTCTTTGTTTTTTTCAATAGTTGCATGTTTCATCAGGGTTACAACATTATTCAGTAAAGCTTTCAAAATGTGTTCTGGTAAACATGTGGATAAATGTGATGGATCAGTGACAAATGTGATGTCTCAGGCAATTCCCTGTTTTGACTTGTACCATATGCTCCCATGTTTTCTCAGGTGAACAATTGATTTGCCTTTGCATGTGTTTGTAACCAGTACCACCGGTGGGGCAGGATACGGTCACCCTTTCGTGAGCACTGGTATCATTACTGTTTGATAGTGGTTCATAAACACGTGTTCATAATATAGTCAGAATCGTACAATCGACTTTGCTTTTAATAGAGATTTCTTATGAAAATGGAAAGGGTTTTTTCGCTTTTACTTAACTTCTATGGATGTAAGTCTAAACATGAAGATAGAAACACACCATACTTCATTCCATCATGTTCCATGATCTACTCTGTATATCTTTTATTTACTCCAAATAAAATGTGTGTCCTGGTTTTGATAGAAGAGATGCCTTGTGTGGCCCTGCTACACATCCTGCAAAGATTTGTTTGTTTGTTGTATAATGCTGCACTCAGCAATATTCCAGCTATATGACAGCGGTTATCCTGCAAATAAGCCCACGCACGTGGAGGCATCAAGCAGACCGCAATTAGTCATGGTCATCTGCCCCAACTACTTGCACATAACATAGACAAACATACTGCTGCCTCCAATATGAACAAGAATGTCAGGCATTTGGTGGTTCTTGATAAACTTTGTCCATATACAGTTGAGCCTCATCAGTCTGGACACTGTTTGTCTGGAATCCTGTCTACCACTCGATTACTGCCTTGATAACTACTACTTATACATTAAATAGTGTTGAGGCAAGGTCTTTTGGTATGATGTGGCCGGGGATTGAACACTCGACCTTCCTCGTTCCTGGCAAACACTCTACCACAAGACCTAAGAGTCGTTCACATTAAATAGTAAGATTTAGACGTAACTGATACACATCATCACAAGCATTCTTAGCAGTAACCATAGAGTCCAGCTGAAGTATTCAATAGAGTGAAACCGTTGTAGTCCAGATCCTGTCAACTGGAACCCCACCTTATAGACAATTATTGCTAGGAACATCTGTCTATACATAGTTAACTACCACACCACAATGCTTGATCCAGGACACCACAATGTTAATCTGGAACATTATTAGTTTGGGTGATTAAAAAGAAATGGATGACTACATTATCTGTTTTCACATTACTGTACTTGAGACATTTTCAGCTTCTTATTAAGTCACAATGTAGAAAGCAAGTTCTTATAACAAGTATATAGTAGTATCTGACACTTACCTGGAATATGAAATCCTTAGTGATTAGTTCAGGGTTTGGAAGCACTGAGCGATCAGCTATCACAGCCATTCGAATTTGATCACCATAAGTAAGGAAAGAAATGGCGACCGCCACCTTCTCCAGTGGTGGTAGCCAGTACATGACACACTTAATCTCACGTGACGCAAATCTCAAGTTGGTTTCTGGACCAGCCAGATTCGAGATTAGACATGTACACTTGCTATATATATTGTTCCACAGTTTTCTGTACAAGGATTTGGGCAGGGTGGCTGACGTGAACCACATTGCGCCTTTAATCACTGCTGCCTCTGGAGATCGTTTGAAGTGATCCATTGTCATTTTCAGTTCCCACAGGCGTGGAATAGCACCTTCTGTGTTGGTAGGTAGAGGTAGGACTATGAATGAATACTTACTCCCCATCTCCGACCTATGTCTCGTGTCTGTATGATGAAAGTCAAATGGAATGGCACACTGCATATCATAAGGGTTCCCTATTCCGCTAACTTGTAGATACGACCTAACATTTCCTGCTGTGACAGACATAAGAAGCTCATTCATCGTACATCTGGAGACTTGTTTTATGCGTGTGGCAGATCTCATGCTGAACGGAGCTGACCAGGCTACAATCATGTCGCCAGATGGATGGACATGGCGGCCATGTAGCAGGTTGAAGTCTTCCCTCATACACAAGTACTTACAACAGAAGGTCAAGGGTCCGAAAAGAAATGCTCTGAATGTTCCCAGAAAGGCTGGTCCACTTCCAAGAGGAGATGATGGAGGGGAGACTCCCTGGGAATCGACCAGCGCCTCCTGGAGGATGCGGATCATGGAGACACCATCTGTCATGCTGGGGTGCATCCGGAACAGGAGCGCCGTGTCTCGCTGTGGGCCGAAGTTGTGATAGACTTGAATCTCCCACAGCGGATGGTCTTCTGGGAGGGGCTTAGATGCCATTTCTGATATATATTCCTGTAAATCTTCCAACGATGACAAACGAACAGATGCATTGAATACATGATTGTTGATGAAAAAATGATAGTCGTCCACCCATGCATACCCACAACAAAACGGTACTATTTTTTCACTGAAACGTGGGTACAGCTTATTTCCGCGTCTGTCTTCTGCAGTAATGACACGGGCATTGATGAGGTCACGTATGCGGTCGGTGTCAAGTCCAGCTTGTATGATAATAAGACTTTGAACAACGACAGGATTAGCGTTGCTGGATTTGTGAAGCCAGATGCTCTCGGACGATGACAGATGCTCGTTGCAGCAGAAAGCACAGCAATGGTTACAGAATCGGCAACAGTAGCACACGTCACACATTCTCTTCACAATCACACACACTGGAACCATGAGAGCCACCAGGATCACAACGGGGCCAAACAGGAGTAAAGAAACAAGAAGCAGTAGAAATGTTGTACAGCAATTAAAACATACACTCTTAGACGTCACATGAACTATCCTCCTGAAAGGGGCACTTGGAAATCCCAAACGTACAAAGTGTCTTTGAAATCCTTCTGATGTGGAATGTACTGACCGGGGATTGTCAGAGACACGAGACATGTCGATGTGGACCTCCTCCGGTCGCTCAGGTCTTTCGACCTTGAATGTGACCTTGGTTGGAGATTGCACTGCTGTTGGTTGTCTTGTGATGGGTGGTTCTGTACTGCGTGCTGCTTTAGTAATCTCATTATTTGGAACCTCATAATTTTGGCTTGTTGGGACTTTAGGTGTTTCACTAATATACACTGTAGTATCTGCTGGGTTTTGTGGTTTCTGATTGTTTGAAGTTTCATTTTTTTTACCTTCTTTCTCAATCTCGACCTTTTGAGCTGTTGAGTCATTAGTTTTTTTGTTTTCTTTCTTGTCCGTTTTGGGGTGAGTGGAGTCTTCCGGTGTTTTGGTAGACTTAGTCTTACTCTTGGAGGAGTCATTGTTTTGGTCTTCCTTGGATACCTTTGGTTTGGAATTATTTGAATCTTCAACCTTTTGGCTTCCTTTGAGCAAGGTCTTTTTGGAATCCTCAGCTTTCTTTGCCTTCTTCAAGGCAGCATCAGTGACTTGGGTGATCTTAATCTGAGGTTTGGATATTTTTTGACTTTTTTGATTTTTGGCAGGAGTAGCGGTCTGACTTGTTTTGGACTGTGCCTTCTGAGCTGTATTGGCTTTCTGACCCTTAGCTGACTCTACTACCTGGGTGAGATTGAAAGGACTTGCTCCTGGAAATTTGGGTAACACTGCTGGATCTATTATTCTGTCAGGTTGTCTTGGAAGACTGCCCCGTTTGTCCACATCCAGTTTCAGCCTTTTCTTTTCAACTTTGTAGACCTCCAGCCTGTTGCCTGTTGTCTGACTGTTGGCAACAGGTTTGGGGGAGACGACTTCATGGCTGCGGCTTGAAGACTGCCCTTGTAGCCTACCACCAATCCTCAACTTGGCATCGGCATTATTAGAGCGGCCAGTCTGGTCATGATGGCTTTCTTGGCCACCACTTCTTTCCATTGGACGACAGCCGAGTCCATCACATACTCATCTCCGTGCTAACTGAAACAAAAACAAGGATATTAGTTGAAATCAAGGGTATATCCTTTTCACTATATTGCCAAGGGCCTTTCCTCACAATACTATCACAGTTCTATGCAAAAGTACAAGATTGGGTATCATGGAAACAAACTAAGGACTTGTGGGTGAATCTGGGATTTGAACCCACAATCAGTGGATCCTGGGGCAGCTAAGGGATGCAACTCTGTACAAGATGTGGCACCTTCCGCTTTTACAGATTTAGTCCATCAATCCCAGGGAAGCAAAGCCTGAGATTGTTAGACATTTTGCTGCCTTTATCTTCAAGATTTTCACAGTATTTACTCACACACTTTCACTCACCTTATCATGCAATTTGACAAGTAATGTTGTATAAAGTATTATCAAATATTCACCTTAGAGATCGATCCTCATATCACATCACAGCAACACAGTACGGACATAGAGAATAGACTCACTTGTACCAAAGTGGGGAATAACAGGACAGGCATGGTGAAAAATGTTTTATCCACAAGGCTGCCTTACCACCATATTTCTCAAATTACAACAAAAGTTTAAAAAACAAGTTGTAATTACATAAATACTATATAGATTTTTACACCTCCGCAATTTATAACGAAAAAATGTAAAGTGTAAAGGGGTATGCCATACGTCAACACAAACAACTGTCAAATGACACAATAAGTTTCTCATCGATGGGAAAGCCATACAAATAGTGAAAATAAACACTCCCACCATAACTCAAGCAAGAACATCACAGTTCTGACATCATGTTGCAACTAAGAAATGTTATCTGAAGCAACATATTTGATCGGAATTAGGTACACAGCCCTCCTGCCCTCTCCAGACATACCTGAGCACTGAAAGCCTACAAGTATCTCCACAGGCGTCTAAGTCCCATCTGGAAACCTTTCTCCACTAAACAAGGACAAGTAAAAAACAAATATCACAGTACCTGGGGCAAAAGAAAACACACAATCTTTCTACCCACGATGCACCTGTGATGAAAGTCGAGCCGTGACCCACTGGCATGGATTGCTACCCCCCTGCCCCTGCCCCCCAACCCAGGCTAACCCAGTGGAATACATTCCTGATACCTGGTCAGTTACAGATGGAACACACGGCCATTACAACAGCAGCATCTGTGCATACACTATCGGTCAAAAACAGATAAATTATTGGTACTCTCATCTGATGCTCAAGGCATGCACTTGAACATACCACGATAAACATAACTTGTGCAACTCATAAGCAGAGGGTAGGGCATGCCTTTGCCCAATAAATGTTCACAGGTAATTCAGACCACATTTTCAAAGATCACAGGTAATTTTTCACCAATTTCATATTCTCGGAAAATTATCGTGTAAATTAGTTAATACTTTTTCGAGACAAGAAATAATTCATTCTTACTTAAAATCTGATAGTGACATCAACCATATCACTGTTACGTTTAAGTTTTGGCATGTATAAAATAGGTCTGCGCCTCACATTCTTGTTGCATGTAAACTTGGTAACAACTTGTCAGACGGACCATCTATGGCATTTCTTGATTGTTTTAGGCCGTTCCCTAAATTTACAACATGGTATTTCCCAGTTTCGATAAAAAATGATAAAGAATATTAACAGTTCACAATAAAAAAAGACATTTCATTGAAAACTTTCAATTTATTGGCAAATTCACAATAACAGGACTGTTGAGAAATAACATATTACAGCTAATTCCTAACGTGAAATATCAAACAACAGCATATTAAAAGGCCCAATAACATATAACGATATAGGTATTCCCGATCTGCATAAACAAACTGGTCCATTACAGATATACTGTTTGTTCACTCTTTGGCTGCCAAAGACGTGCACTTGAACACACTGCCAATTGGTATGCCATACTATGTGGTTAGAATAGTCCCACATATATAATATTCATTCACCCTTTAAATGTGAGTCTTGCACTTTAACCCATGGTCATACAAACTAGAGGTACACTGTATATACAAGCTGTTCAGTGACAGTTATGGTGTTCACTGCACTTCAAACTTCCCAAACTGAATTGAGCATACAACCATACTACAATCTGTTCATACGACATGGGTCAGGTAGGTTACCCCAGCTCCTGTGTGCCCGTCACAGCCAATACATGGCATAGGGCACTGGTGATAGTACCCAGTACCGTGGCTAGTTAACCCTTTTTATGCACTATGATACTAGGTCTTGACATTAATAATCTTGTGAGAACTTCGTGCCCGCCAGTATTTAAATGAATTGGTCAGGGCAGTCACTGCCTCAATAAGTTAAGGCTGATTCAATATTCAGCCAATCATTTCATAAGATGAGGTAACAATTACTTCACCCGTGCCCCCACATTACATGAAGATATCCGGACAGTGATAACAACAGTAAAAAAAAGACAATACAAGGATCATATTCTCAAAAACATCATCTACAGATGTTGTCAACAACATAATTATTGGACTAACAGATCATCTGTAGGTAGAAACAACAAATAAATGAGCATCGATTTGAAGGTTTGTACAAGGAGGTAGCCTTATAGATGGCGATAAACGGTATTAACACAACACACAAAATATGCAAAACAAATTCCCACCTCTTTCCTCACTGACCGCTGTAGGGGAATAACACACATAACTGCCCTTCAAACTGCACCAATTAACATACACACAGCCAGGTCTGCATATAGTTATGTTAACCTTCTATGGCACCTGTGTGTTGCAGGCAAATAAGCACTACATCTCATCAACTACCCAGCATCTGGTTTTCAGCCTGACCTAGTGACCAATGGCATACATCTACCTCTTGGATTGTGGCAGCCCCAATATTGGACTGTTACAAAACAAGCAGGGGAGGCCTGCCATGTGGTGTTCTCCTCCAACATGAATACACTGGTTATAGACCACTGGTACTGGGGGCCATGTGCTGGTTATAGACCAATAGTACAGGGGGCCATGTGCTGGTTATAGACCAATGGTACTGGAGGCCATGTGCTGGTTATAGACCAATGGTACTGGGGGCCATGTGCTGGTTATAGACCAATGGTACTGGGGGCCATGTGCTGGTTATAGACCAATGGTACTGGGGGCCATGTGCTGGTTATAGACCAATGGTACTGGGGGCCATGTGCTGGTTATAGACCAATGGTACTGGGGGCCATGTGCTGGTTATAGACCCATGGTGGTACTGGGGGCCATGTGCTGGTTATAGACAACTGGTACTGGGGGCCATGTGCTGGTTATAGACCACTGGTACTGGGGGCCATGTGCTGGTTATAGACCAATGGTACTGGGGGCCATGTGCTGGTTATAGACCAATGGTACTGGGGGCCATGTGCTGGTTATAGACCCATGGTGGTACTGGGGGCCATGTGCTGGTTATAGACCAATGGTACTGGGGGCCATGTGCTGGTTATAGACCAATGGTACTGGGGGCCATGTGCTGGTTATAGACCACTGGTACTGGGGGCCATGTGCTGGTTATAGACCACTGGTACTGGGGGCCATGTGCTGGTTATAGACCCAGGGTGGTACTGGGAGTCATGTGTTGGTTATAGACCCAGGGTGGTACTGGGAGTCATGTGTTGGTTATAGACCCAGGGTGGTGCCATGTGTTGGTTATAGACCCAGGGTGGTACTGGGTGCCATGTGTTGGTTATAGACCCAGGGTGGTATTGGGTGCCATGTGCTGGTTATAGACCCAGGGTGGTACTGGGAGTCATGTGTTGGTTATAGACCCAGGGTGGTGCCATGTGTTGGTTATAGACCCAGGGTGTTACTGGGAGTCATGTGTTGGTTTTAGACCCAGGGTGGTACTGGGTGCCATGTGTTGGTTATAGACCCAGGGTGGTACTGGGAGTCATGTGTTGGTTTTAGACCCAGGGTGGTGCCATGTGTTGGTTATAGACCCAGGGTGGTACTGGGTGCCATGTGTTGGTTATAGACCCAGGGTGGTGCCATGTGTTGGTTATAGACCCAGGGTGGTACTGGGAGTCATGTGCTGGTTATAGACCCAGGGTGGTACTGGGGGCCATGTGCTGGTTATAGACCCAGGGTGGTACTGGGTGCCATGTGTTGGTTATAGACCCAGGGTGGTGCCATGTGTTGGTTATAGACCCATGGCTGTACTGGGTGCCATGTGTTGGTTATAGACCCATGGTGGTACTGGGGGCCGTGTGTTGGTTATAGACCCAGGGTGGTGCCATGTGTTGGTTATAGACCCAGGGTGTTACTGGGAGTCATGTGTTGGTTATAGACCCAGGGTGGTACTGGGTGCCATGTGTTGGTTATAGACCACTGGTACTGGGAGTCATATGCTGGTTATAGACCCAGGGTGGTACTGGGAGTCAAGTGTTGGTTATAGACCCAGGGTGGTGCCATGTGTTGGTTATAGACCAAGGGTGGTACTGGGTGCCATGTGTTGGTTATAGACCCAGGGTGGTACTGGGAGTTATGTGTTGGTTATAGACCCAGGGTGGTACTGGGAGTCATGTGTTGGTTATAGACCCAGGGTGGTACTGGGAGTCATGTGTTGGTTTTAGACCCAGGGTGGTGCCATGTGTTGGTTATAGACCCAGGGTGGTACTGGGTGCCATGTGTTGGTTATAGACCCAGGGTGGTGCCATGTGTTGGTTATAGACCCAGGGTGGTACCGGGTGCCATGTGTTGGTTATAGACCCAGGGTGGTACTGGGAGTCATGTGCTGGTTATAGACCCAGGGTGGTACTGGGGGCCATGTGCTGGTTATAGACCCAGGGTGGTACTGGGTGCCATGTGTTGGTTATAGACCCAGGGTGGTGCCATGTGTTGGTTATAGACCCAGGGCTGTACTGGGTGCCATGTGTTGGTTATAGACCCAGGGTGGTACTGGGAGTCATGTGCTGGTTATAGACCCAGGGTGGTACTGGGGGCCATGTGCTGGTTATAGACCCAGGGTGGTACTGGGGGCCATGTGCTGGTTATAGACCACTGGTACTGGGAGTCATGTGCTGGTTA